GCAGTTGTGAAAAAGTTATGGTGTGTCAGCAGCTGTGCACGCACGTAACTCTATAGTGGGACTTGACAACGCGACTTAACTTGCTTCCTTGATGCCTGTTTTGTCATGGTAAAAGTGAACGCCCTCGTCCCACAGATCTGGTTCCACTGGTACTTCCCATTGCTTCTGTGAATAGTGTTGTGTTTCTGGGCGAAATCTGTCGCGTTTGGGCAAGAAATCCCTACAGAGTAAAACAAAGTGGTTGGTGATGGGGGTAATCCAAATCTCCAGACCCGGGAAATCGGTAGATATATGGTCCCTAGGTGGGCTGTGCTGTATTCTTCCGTTTTAAAATATTTTCTATCTCTTCTTGTTAGTCTAGATCAGCCTAAACCTTCTACCAAATCTGCAGCTAGAACAATGTCACTCGGATGTGGATACTTCCGTCTCTCGCCTTAAATGGGTATTTGCTTCCACACAAAGCTTTAATCTTTAATACTGTTAAGCAGCCACTCAAAACACAAACGCTCAGCCAGAGTTAGTGATCAGAAAGGAATGTGAGGGTTTGATTTTGTTCTTGCCTTCGAGGACCCAGGTGCGTAAGCTAAACACACCGTAAGGCCAAAATCGGACCCAGCTTATTCCAAGGACTAAAGCAACAGCAAAGATCATATACACTTGGTGTATCCTGTCCTCTGTCGAGTCAATGCCATTATTATATTTGCATACCCAGTTGCATTATTTAAATTGAGAAGCAGTTAGGAAGGCAAACGACGAATAACATTTGCAAGTCACGCTACTTTCTGCAAAGAGGGAGACCACACAGTAGTCCTTAATTTCCCGCTCTTCTACCAAAAATGAATTCGAGATGTCTGCATGGTTTTCCCTGCTGCCTTTTCCTGCAGAAAGTAGATGGAAATTTGCAGGCTACTCCTCTTTGTCCTCGTTCGACTCCCCACAGATTTGGATTGCCCTACCTATCGATAACATTTCAATATGCATTATGGTGCACTGTGAGTGAATGTTGTAAAGTAACATGTGAGTCACAAACAGTCATTGCAGCTTTAAGTGTGTGTCTACCTGAAAAATTGCATGCCTAACTGGTTTTGCAAAGGTAGAGAGTCTTTTTACTTTGCACACTAGTAGCTCCGATACTAGTGTTACGTGATACTTGTGAAAATATTAAACTTTTTTTGATGTGCGTTAACTGGTGTTTAGTGGTTCTTTCTGGAAGAGGTGCTGTTGGCTGGTGGCTTAGTGCTTTGGGAAGAGCTATTGTGTAGGGAGAGCTGCAACCTAATCCCAGTGGTGCCTGCGTTTTGTGTGTGTGTTTTTATTCCCGGGCATTCGGGGTCAGATCCAGACCGGGTGGATTTTCACCCGGCTCCCCGTGCCTCGTGTTTCCTCATGTAGCTCAGCAGAGGCATGGAGCTGATGGTAAAACCAAATCTTGGGGCACGTGTAGTTTGTCCGGGTGCATCTCACACCCTGTCTCATGCTGGGGAGGGGGGGATCTGCAGTGCAGGAAAACCTCAGCCCTCTGCATTTGAAGCCCCATGTGATTATAGTGGATCACTTTAGGCTTTCCCATTTGCATGGCGATGGATACGTCTGTGTCCCTGCCGAGCTCTGATGCCTGTCAGTCTGTAGCCCCCCTGTGTGCAGAGGGTTGATGTTTGCAGAATCACAGTGTCAGGAGCTCGTACACCCTGTGTTTGCTCATCCCACGTTGGAGTTTGTCTATGAAAGCCCCTTTTGCAAACACTGAGGTTGGGCTTCTCCAATAACCCATCGTTTGTTACCGCTTGAATAGTCTCTGACGCTCTTGATGTGCAGCTATGACCCCAAACAGGAGACAGAAGAAGGTGAGAAAGTTTTTTTTAGGCACAGGGGGCACATTGCATTTTAATTGCTTGAAGGTTTGCGAATCTTATGCCTGCTGTTGGCAGTGCTGTAGGGGTGGTGTGAGCCGTGCCTGGGGACCTGGTTTCGGAGCTCTTCAGCATCTGAGGGCTAGGCTCAGTGCAGGATAGAGGAGGAATGAAAAGTGGAAGTTAAACTTGGTCGTCTCAGGGTGACTGTGGATTTTGGAGATGCTGGCATAGGTCGTTTTGTTTATTGGATCCAGCTGATAACAAATAGGGAGTGTGTGTTTCTAACAGTGCAGCTTTTCCTACTGTGGACCATAGGTGACGTGCTCGATAAGATACGGCAGTTCTTTTCCAAAGGGAGACCTGGTGGGATTCCCATTTCCAGACTACTTCTTACCCCTAGGAAACTGTTCCAAGTGAATCACAAGCTATAACTGTCCGAAGAAATTGTCTCCGATGTTATCCAAGCAATGACTGAGATGTCTTACTTAAAGCTTTTAGGCTTGGTGGATAAAATCATAGTCCTCTTAATTGTTAAGCTGTAATTACTGCAATATGAACACAGAAATCTTATATTTCCTGGGGAAAAGATCATTTGCATACCACTGTTGTAATGTCATCCGCTCCTTACTCCTCTGGGGGTTCTCTCAGAAGCCTTTTGAATGGGTTTTAAAACAAGCAGACTTTGTTTTGTTTTGTTTTCATAAGAAAATAGCAGAAGGAAAAATAAAGTGTTTCTGAACTTCTGAACCCCGTTCTGTGCTTTTTGTTCATTCCTTTGCCATAAAAATGAGATTCTTCAAATGTTTTTCTTTCCAGACAACAGGGTCTCCTTTTTGCTGCTTAGAGCACAAGTAACCGTGCAGAGGAGGGATTTATTGCTGACCTGGAGGTGTTTTACTGCTCCGCGGTATTTAATCGTGTCTATATTTATATGAGGAATTGCATGTATTTACTATGGAGCATGGTGTTCCTGTTGGCTCATATATCACGGGAAATAATGCAGTCTGCCTTGGCATGCCTTTTCTTCCAGTATCTAACGAGGGCTCAGAGTGTCTCTGCTCAATTAACTCTTGCTGTTTCTAGCAGAGAAACTTCTCAGCATCTGCAGCCTGAGCCCTTCAGGGAGTTTTGCTTGCGACCTGAAGAAGTCACCCTGTGCTCTCTGCACCCACACACGAGAGGGAGAGATGCCATGAGCTGCCAGGAGAACACCAGTGCCTGTTGAGGACCACAGAGGGGAGACAGTGCCAGCATGTGTGTGACACTTGGGCATCTGAAGTTGGCTCTGGCTGGCCGTCACGGTGTGATGGAAGATGGGATGCTCCAGAAAGGCCTGTTTGGTCTGAGAAAGGCCCACGTTATAAAGCTGCAGGGTTTAAAGGCCTTACAGTCACGTCGGCTGGGTGTGGGAGAGGAATGGCTTATATATAGATGAAATAGTGAACTCTGTGTGTAGGTGTCCTTTGGTTCCTTGGAGCAAGGGTCTTTGCACCTCTAGTAGGATCCCAGAGATGTGTGCCTTGCAGAGCATCCCTCCCAAATTGCTTTGAATCCCTTCAGAAGGAAGACTTGGTGGTGGCTATCTCTAAATGCCTCTTATTGCTCTCCCTCTGCCCTGGGCAGACCCCAGCGGGGCGGTATGGGGAAGAGCAGGCTGGGCAGTCAAGAAGGCTGGCCAGGTAACACCTAGACTAGAAACTACCTGCTGAACGATTTAAAATAATGAACTTTTTAAGAAGGGCATGCGGCCTCGTGCTCTACTGTCCCATTAGCAAGAGAAGTTTGTTGAACCTCTGTGTACTTGTTCTCTGCAGCAGCCAGGGAGGTGAAGAAGATGGAGTGGAGAAGGAAGATGTATCTGCTGGTTCCTGCATTGAAACAGAGTTGGGAAAATCCTACCCCCGAGTACTCTTTCAGTTCAAGCCACGAATCTCTTCTCTGAATTTACTGCAGAATTTAAGCCTTGATGTTTTGCTTTCACAGAGCAAAGGGGAACATTTCAAATAACTGGATCTTGTTGACATTGCAGGAACTTTTTCTATATGAAGGTACGGCTCGGTGGTGTGACATACAAACCTGTCAGGAAAGGTGATTGTGAGGTGCCACTTATCACACCGATGTTACATGCTGATATTACTTTTATATAATGTTTATATTTCAGCTTCTCCTGTTTTGTATGCCAGCACATAATGCCTCAGGCTTTGAAGATGACATATTTGAGCCTTTATTTTCATATCTGAGAAGAGAAGAACAGTGGTGATAAATGCGGAGTAAGTCTGGAAAGGGAAGATGAAGGGACTGTCTGGGAAAAGACAGCTGTTAGGACTAGGAGGAGGTAAAGGAGGTGGATTCAGATTAGATCCATGAGCTCTGACCGAGCCAGTGAGCATCCCACACCTGGCCACTGACTTTTCAGAGAGCCTCGCTCTCCAAATTAGGCACCACAATTAACTATGTGAAGTCAGAGGAATCAATCGCTCACAGTTTAATAGGATGATAATGTTGTGTTTTGGTACAAGGTTATAGAAATCCATGCAATGACAACATCTTAAGGAAACATTTCTCACTTTTAATTGATGAGGGATGATGCTGGTCTGAAAATTGCAGGTCTGAAAATCCTGGAATTCAGCAGAAATTCAGGACAGGCTTTGGACACACTAATATTTGCCTTTCTTGTAGGGGAGCTCCGATCCACAGCCTCTTCTGCCTTGGGGCTGCTGAGCCGTGGGACTTCACTGCCCACACAGCCCCAAGTGTCCATCCAAGCTGAGTCAGATGTGCCCCAGCCTTTCTGTTCCATCACCTCTTTTCCAGATTTAAGTGTCTTGGTGGAACAGAAAGCAGGAGACCACAATCTGGAAGGGAATAATTGATATTCTATTGATTGGCACTGCCTGAGGTCTGCTTTGCTGCTTTTTTTGACCTCGTGGGCAAAATCTCTCTGTTCTGTATTTGCAGTTGTTGGTGTAAGGGAGGGATGAGCTCACATCCATAGCTGCGTGATATTTGGACCTACATGGCTATAAATATTACCAGCAGATTGCTTTCAATGCTGATGGCACCTGAAAACGTCCCATAGAAAACAGTCACTGCAGAATAAAGACCTTTCTGAGGCTTCCACAGATCTGCTGCCTTCAAATGGTGTGTTAGGATAGAGCCAGAATCAGGAGGAGAAAAAAAAAAATCAAAGTGTTAGCTGGGTGAGGGTAAGTGATGTATTCTCTTTCTCACTCGGTTGAGTTTCTGTGCTGAAACTTGTTGTTCCTGACTTCCTGCGGGTCGTCTGGTAAAGAGATGGGGAAGTGAGTTTAAGTCTGTCTTTCTCAGTCGCTTTTATGCAAGGACACCACCGGAAGGCTAATTTGAAGCCAGAACGAAACCTGTCAATGTAAGAAAAGAAATTAAATGTTGAAATGATCTTTTTAATTGCACAGAGAAAGAACAAATGCATGACTTGGTTCCATCTCTGAGTCAGCATGGGAAATAAAAGCTTTCTATTTAAATTAAAGGAGGTACTTGCAGAGCTAAATGTCTAAATGCATGGAGGGAAGAGCAATAGGAGTTTATGATCAGATTTCCTTGCATTTTAAGTAAATATATAAGATTGGTTAAATGGCAGGATGTTTGATGTGCTCAGTAGATGGTGCTCACCATGCTGATAACAGCATTCAGCCTCAGAGGCGGAGCATCTGAGGAAAACGCTTGTATTTACCTGCTGGAAACTTCTAAAAAAAATGAATAATTAAATGAGGAAGCTGTCTGCTCTCTGAGAGAGGAGGAGGATGTGTTTGGGTGTTCCATGTTATATGTGAAATGGGCTGAATGGGCTGGGAAGCTGCCTTATTTCGCAGCCTTAGGGGCAGGATGCTGTTTGAAGCGCTCTCAAGGAGCGATCGTCCCAGCATCACTCTGGAGTTAGGCGTTTTGCTGGTGGGGTTCCAGTGGAAGAGCACTGGAGGTCTTGGAGGAGGTGTGCTGGTATCTCTCCCACGCTCCCTCGGTGTCCCCCTGCACCAGCGTCCCGAGAGCAGCCCGTTCTCAGCACAGAGCAAGAGAGACATCTCTTGGCACCACAAGGTTGTGCTCGTGGTGGGGTGCCCGGATGGGAGTCTCGGCAGGTTGCCTGTGGGCTTCTCCCACCCTTCCCGTTGGGATGAGCCCTGTGTAGAAGGGCTCCTCCGTGGCACAGGAGGAGTGGGTGGTTAGGGCAGCCTGGCATTAGGTCAGCAGATGCATTGCAGGGATTACAGAGTCCTTCCTCCTTCCTTGGAAATCATTGACTCATTATGGTTGGAAGAGACCTTCAAGATAACTCCAACCTAGCACTGCCGAGATACGGCTAGAGACCTTATCACTCCCTACAACTACCTGAAAGGTGGGGCTTGGTCTCTTCTCCCAAGTAACAAGCAATAAGACAAAAGAAAACAACCTCAAGTTGCACCAGGGCAGGTTTAGGATGGATAGCAGGAAAAAATTTCTTCACTGAAGGATTGTCAAGCATTGGAACAGGCTGCCCAGGGAAGTGATTGAATCGCCATCCCTGGAGGTATTTAAAAGACTGGTAGAAGTTCCACTTCTGTGTGTGGAAGCTGGTGCAGATGTGGCTGCACTGATCATACACCTGCTGCCTGCGCTTTATTCACAGGCAGGAATTCTTAAGAGTGGAGTTGAAATCTCACTTGCACGGTGTGGCTAATCTCACGTTATTAGCAGAGTGTAAATTAACTTGTCTCCCTGGCCTATGGACTGTAGTTGAAAATCACAGTTGTTCTCACCTCCAGAGATTTGTGCTTTTTCGGGTTGAGATTTTCATTTTCTCCGCGGACACACGTGCACACACCACTCACCTTTGGTTGAGGCAGCAGTATATGATGGGGTTGTACATCGTCGAACTCATGGCCAGGAGAAAGATAGCGAGGTAAACCTGCTGAATGTACTTCTGCTGGTAGATGTCTTCCTTGAAGCTCCCCAGGATGAAGTATATGTGGTAGGGCAGCCAGCAGACAGCAAAAATGATCACAACTACCACCATGGTCTTCACAAACTAGAAACACAAAACCAGTGTGTTATTCCTGGGCCTGGAACGTGCAGATTCACCGGACACCAGGCTTTACTCTCTAAGGACTGCTGGGGGCTGGCCCGCTGCCCACCGCCGTGTGCCTTTCTTCCCTGCAGGCTGGCTGGTGCATGTAAATCACTGCTTTTTTTCATATTTGCTGGAAAGATGTGCATATTTCCCTTTACATCCAGCCCAAATATTTTGTCAACCTTTCATGCCCAGTCCCCCAAGATTTAGTATCAAATGCTAGGTCTGTTTTGGAATTGGAGCCAGCAGGGCTGATGCGCTGAGGGTGATTATTTTTAAGTTTCACTTCTGACCTTTTTTTTGGCATTTAGTTGGTGTTCGTAGCGGACTCTGTTAAGGTGGTTGCCTGGAACCGCGCTGCTCCACAGAGTAATTCCTATAATGCTGTACGCAACAAACATCACCATTAAAGGCAGTAAATAAATCAACACGATCACTGCAATGTGATACCTGAAAAAGAAGAACAAGCACGTTTTTAGTCAGTATGGGGCTCTTTCAGAAATTGTCTTCTGGATGTGTGATCTGACTCCCATTAACTTCAAGCCCAAAGTGTAAAGAAGCAGAAATTTTGCCTACAGACATCGTTACAGGGGCTTCTGTAAACAGCAAAAGCTCCTATCTCTTGTATTGTGATGGTTGGACTAGATTGACTGCTCTTTCAAGATGGAGTAATATCATTTATCTTTTATCAGAGGGTTACAGTCCATGGCCACCTGCCCTGAACTTTGCTATCCTGCTGCAGTCAGGAAAGAGAGACGCCTGAGCCTTGTGGCTATAAAAATAGAACCTTAAAATTACAGATACGGAAAAGGAATATTTCAAAAACTGCAGAGTAACTCGATGAATACGGTTGTACCAACAGGTTAGCTCAGCAACCACGAAAAGAAACGTGGATCAGGGATGGCAGATTGAGAAGCTGGCTGCACAGATTTGGCAGGGAAGATGCTGCAGGTAGCAAGGAAGGAATATTGCCTGCTCAGAGCAAGCAGAAAGTGAGTGGCAGTTGTTGCTGGATTTGTCTTGCTGGCTGTTTTTATGTGCAGTACTAGGGTGCACAATTATATATCACCCACAGGCTACTTGCTTACTGAAAGGCCTGGCATCTCCTTTGGCTGTATTTTAGCTTGGCCCTTCCTAGCTTTCCCCCACAGGCTTCTGCTGGTTCCTTCAGGCTGGGGTTTGATTATTTTAAGCAACCACCATTTATGGGGAGGGAACAACCTGCTCACTCGGTTAGAGCAGCTGTCAAATGAACGTAAACAGTGTAAAAACTCGGATTAAGCAGGAGGGCTCTGGCAATGACCACAAAAGGCTGGGTGTGACTGGTCTTTCTCAGCATGACAAGGCTCTGGAGTCACTCGCCGTGTTAGCGAGCGGGGTCAAAATAAGTGGTGGGGCTCTTGGTTGTGTTTGCTCCTTGGGGTGGTGGCAAATATCAGAGCAGTTGGCTGTGTACAGAAAAATATTGTGTTTGTGGAAGGTGGCAAGTTTTCTCCCTGCCTGTTTTCCACCCTTGCCAAATCTTGGAGTGGTACCTCTTTTGAAGGTCTAATACCATGTGTTGGAGCACAGCAAAGACCTTTTAGAGTCATCATCCTGGAAGGAGGAGGAGAGGGTGGGAGTCTAAGGTTGAGCACGTGGCAAAAAGAAACTTCTAATCTTATGGTTTGGCTATTTTGCTGAGAAGTTAACCTGTCACCAGAAAAAAAAAATAATCCTCTGTGGTTATGGTTCTTTATTTTGGTTAAACTTCTACAAATTTAGTCCCTTCATATCCAGGATTTCTCAGGCACTGGCAGTCACAGTAGTGCATTGTTCGAGGGTTTTTTGACTTGTTTCTAAGATAATTACACACGCTTTTCCTGCAGAAAAGGATTTTCCTTTGTTTTGAAGTCTAGAAATCTTGAATGCTGGTTTTACTCAACTACAAATGCTTTGGAGGACCTACAGTCAACAGAGAATCCTGGTTCTCCATTTCTTTTTTTTTTTTTTTGCTTTGGGTTTCTTAGTATATATTTCCCTCAATATTTGGACTAGCACATGGATGACTGCATGTAGCTTTTTCTCCCTGGTCTGTATTGCAGGCATTTTTCCCAGCAGATCCATCACTCAAGATGATTTCTGGGGAGCGCTGCTTCCAACTTGCTTTCTAGGAGAGCTACTGAAACCTGCAAACCTGAGGCTGTTCAGGGAGAACGAGCTGGTGCGTGAAGTGATTTATTGTGTTTGGGAGCTGCTGCTCTTCAGCTGGGGGATCCCAGAAAAAAACCTGCCCTGTTACTTGCTGCGTTCAGGACTGACCTTTCCAGCCTGCAGAGATTTCATTGACGGGCTGGGAAACTCTTGTTTCAATCCTTCCCAAACTGTGGACAGGGCAGCAATAAACTTCACACTTTTTCATCTGAATGAGACAGTCATCAGTGACTTATAAATGATTATCTACTACCCCTCCTTCTCAATGGACAGGAGGCTGGCACCTTGTGTTCCCCAGCATGTAGCATGAGGTACCAGCCCAGGAGCACCAGGAGGAACATCACCCAATGTGATGTGAGCCTGATTTTACTCTGTTGCTCCTCTGCCACTCTGGAGAGTGAGGACAACTGACCACCAGTGGCTGAATATGCTGCAGCTCAGCCAAACTTACGTGAAGCTCCTTGGAACTTGGCACATATTAGTGTGAAAACCAGCTAGTTTGGTAATAACTAACCACAGGAGGCATCCAGCTGTCTGACCAAGAAGGGGAAAATGTCCCCGGTGCACGTAGCTGGGCAAAAGTGTTCACAGCAAAGAATGGATGTGGGGAGCTTAGCACTTGGTTATGGTTTGAAAAATTGTTCCTGTTTTGTTAATCAATTTCTTCCTTTCATTTAGTTCTTCTATTACTTCTTCATATAAACATGTTTTGCTTGATAAATTTCTCAAACTGCTCTGTGTATCACGTGCTTTGAAGAGTGATTAATCACAGCAGATCCCCTAAATGCAGGGGATGGCTTGTTTCATCCGTCTGAACAATCTTGTTTTAAAGCAGGAGGAAATTGCCGTGAGAGTTGGGAGTTTTTGGGAGCGCAGATGTGTGCCCAGAGAAGTGTCTATAAAACCTTAGGATGTTTGAAACATGCTCCTCTTTTTTTTCTCTTTTCTTTTTTTTTCTTTTTTTTTTCCTCCCCCCACAAAGAGCAGCATATTTTTTAGCTAATTAGTGTGGCTTCTCAGCATTAAAGAAACTTAGTTCCTTCCTGCCTGATGAAGGGAGGAAATTCAAAATCTTTGGAACCAGGATTTATTGTTTGTTTAAAGACTTCATCCTGATTTCATCCTGGAATCCAAGCCCTGTGTCTAGGGTTTCTAGACCTTATACCAGCTTTTCAAAGCAGGGGAGGATGGTGCATCACCCTTCTTTACCCTCAACCATGATCACCTGGCAGCTTTATCCACAGCTGGTTTAAATTGAGCTTAGATGGGCTGCCTCAGAGCTGTTCTCCACCACCCTCTCTCCCAGTACTGTCCATAGCTAACCATTTGGAGATGAAATTAATTTCATAGTTAACTTTTGCATGAATTGGGAGGTGGTTTTTTTGTTTCTCTTACGTGAGCTGGTGCTTGGATCCGACGTCATCCGGCCAGACGACGATGCATTTTGTTGTTCCGTTGTCCATCGTGATCTCGGCGTAGAAGCACTGCGGGAAGGCCAGCCCGAAGGCCACCAGCCAGATGACCCCTATGATGACTCTGGTGCTTCCAGCAGAGAGCCTGGGCTTGAAGGGGTGAATTATCGCCACGTACCTGCAAGAAAAAGAGGTAATGCTTTCATGGTTGCATTGGTAAACTATACAACAAAAATAGCAGGTGTAAAAACTCACTAGGATGGTATACTATGGTTTATTTATAGAGACATTTTGATAGGTTTCAGGCTATAAATCATTAGAAGGAGCTAAGTCCTTTCTGAAGAGAATAATTTCAAGTCTTAGGGCAGAATATATTAAACCCATTCGTGTGGATGGATGCTGAGAGAGTTGGGGTTGTTCAGCCTGGAGAAGGCTCTGGGAGATGTTATAGCAGCCTTATAGTGTCTGAAGGCAGCCTAGAAGAAAACGGGAGAGAGACTTTTTAGAAGGGCATGTAGTCATATGATGAGGGGTGATGGCTTCAAACTGGAAGAGGGTAGACTTGGATTAAATATCAGGAAGAAATTTTTCACTGTGAGGGTGGTGAGACACTGGCACAGATTGCCCAGGGAAGTTGTGGCTGCCCCATCCCTGGAGGGGTTCAAGGCCAGGCTGGATGGGGCTTGGAGCAACCTGGTGTGGTGGGAGGTGTCCCTGCCCAGGGCAGGGGGTTGGAACTAGATGCTCTTTAAGGTCCCTTCCAACTCTAACCATTCTGAGTCTGGTGTGAAGAGGAAGCAGTCATCTTTGCCCTCTGCATATGGTCTTTGCAAGTATTCCCCTTACTTTGAATTTTTCTTTTTTTTCCCTCTTTTTAAAAAGAGAGTCATTTTTAAGTGCTTACATGTCTGCTCTGAAATTTCATGCTGTGAGCTCTTTGTGATAGTGTTATGCACTACTTAACACCGTGCCCTTTTCTCTTTCCTCTACCAAAAAAAAAACCCTAAACACCCTGTCTGCCCCCTTGTTATGTCAATCTCCTCTGATGCCCCGTATTATCACAAGAGCAGACTGCTGGGCTTGAGTGTCTTTTACCCTAAATTTTTCCCCACTGATTTTGAGCCGTGACAAACTCATGTGCCACCCAGCTCTGCCTGGAAATGCTCGAGCCCTTGTGCTTGTGGTGGAAGGGGAAGGCTGACCCTTTCGTCCCACACCTGCTCAGAGCCCTCACGGCACATCTGACTATTAAATTACTCGCAAGCCCTGGGTGCTCTCTGGTTTTAAGTTCCCCGTGTAGAAACGCATGGTATCGTAATGAGTACATAATCAATTATGCATTTCTCGTCATGCTTTCCGTACTGTCACAGTTGTTCCGAAGGCAAAAAAATAGAGTGGAAAATGCTGATTGCCTCCTGGTTTTCGTAGCAAAAATCTGACAAACTCTGTGCTGTCTCTTGGCCAGGCTGTTGGGAGGGAGCTCTGCCCGGCTGCTGCTGCAGGACAGAGAGCGGGCGGCTGTGGGGACAGCCAGCACAGTAACCTAAGCCAGACCTTATTTAGCTATAAAATTTTCATGTCACCTTGCTTTTCTTTTGCTCGCTGTAGGCAGTAACGTACGATGCTCAGATCTGGTCAGGGAGGAATCAAGTGGTGAATATTCTCCTCAATATTTGCCCCTGGAAATGCCCAAACTGGCTGCGCTGCCGACAGCATCCTGTGTTGCGGGTACCGAAGGGATTACAGGGCAGCTGGGGGGAGGCTTTCCTGGTCACCCAGTGGTGAACCATGCTTTTTAGGCAGGCTCCAGCAAGTTGGGAGATTTTACCCAGTCTGCTGAGATCTCTTGCTGTGTGCCCTCTCTCTGTGTCCTGGTCCCTCTGACGTTCTCAGGATGCTGGGACCCCGCTCCTGACACCCTTCCTCTGATTCTTGTTCCACACAGACAAAACAAGCTGAATTTTGGACACTCCTGCACACTTTCTGTAGAAGCCCTAGGAGGCTTTTGCTAACTGGAGTGTGAAACTTGAGCAGATATACTGAATTTTCTGCCTGGAGCACTGCAGCAAGCCCACAGTGGAATCAGCTCCTCTGGTACACGGGGCACCTTGGCATGGGGAACAGAGTGGTCCTAAACCCAACAGTGAGCGAGATGGCCAGGGCAGAGAAAAAAATGACTTATAGAGCTGTCGCTTCTTAGCCTCCTTCCTTACAATAAACCACTTCAAAAGACATTGTTTTATCAAAGCTAAACATCGGAGCCCAAGTGGACACAAGTTCTCATAACAATAAATGGAAGCCGCGGGTTTCCAGGAGACGGTGTCAGGATCTATTTTAAGGTTAAGCAAAGAATAGCTAAATATGGTTTGCAGCGAGATGCCAACGTTTCTTTCTGATCCGTGCCACGTGACTGAAGAGATTTTGGCTGTACAGGTAGTTTCACCAGAAGTTCCCAAAGAACAGGATTAGGGACGCCTGAGGACAGGCTGAAATCGATTTATTTTTAAAACTGTAATATCCTTTGGCAGAGCACGTGTATAAAACAGCGGTTACCAACAGCCCTTGACTCGAAGCTGAGAACAGCAAAAGAATATTCCGAGTCTAAAACTGAGCTCCTGCTGCTTCTAAACAGGGATTTGCTTTCACCCGGACAACTGCAGGCTGATAAACACATCGCTCCTTCCTCTGCTCATCACCCATCCTTCCAGCCACCACGGGGACCGCTGGGGCAACCTGGGCTGTGTCCCCAGCTCGAGGTGCAGGTTTCAGCGGGCGTTCCATCCACAAGCCTCCCTTCTCCTGCCAGTTTGTCTATCTGGTTTGATTTGCCCTGTTGGCTTGCTCCCTGGGGTGAAGGGAGCTGGGAGCCAGGGGTGGGCGTTATCCCAAGTGACTCACGGAGCCAGGCTTTTTTGGATGGCTCCCGAGGGAGGCTGGGAGGGCCCTTGGTGGGTACAAGCACTTGATAAGGAATGGAGGAAACCTAAATGAAGTGGTAAAGTCAACAGGAGGGCTCGATAAAGAAGCGTCAGGTATTTCTGGATGGCTGCCTGGGGGAAGACCTTCACCACTGGGGCAGGGACATGGGATGGAAAAGATACAGTGGTCCCCTGGTGCCAGGTGGAGCGTGGAAGGAAGGGAGGGAAGATGGGAAGAAGGAGTAGAGAGAGCACAGAAGGGAGCTCGACCCTCCTCTGCTTCTTTTACGTGCCATTGCCTTTAAGAGAAGAAATTCCCATGGACTTTTGGCCACTTTCTAGTAAAAAGAAAAACACCGTCACGCTACTTAACAATGAGCTGTAAACACATTTAGGCTCCACAAATTTAAGCTCGAGTGAAAGAGACTTGGCAGATGGAAGAGAGTATTATGAAAATGCCAAATTACCTCACAAGTCAAACAAAATCACTGTAATTACTTTCCTCCCTCTTGGAATAAGTCATTCTTGCGGACTATTGGGGCAGGCTCTGCCATTTCTGATCCAATTCCCGTTTTTTTTTTTTTTCTGGAGGCTGGCTGGGCTCACAAGCAGGATTGAGGAGGCTGATACTTTTCAGCATCCTGCAGTATATTCTTATCACTCCAGCTCTGTCCCAACGAGAGGTCCTTCTCGTGTTTTTTTTTTTTTTTAAAAAAAAAAAGTTTGCAGGATGTCTGGGAAACAATTTATGATCAGTAACACCGTTTTTTTTTTTTTTTTTCAAAAAAAAAAAAAGTTTGCAGGATGTCTGGGAAACAATTTATGATCAGTAGCACCAGAATAATAAAATACCAGCCACTTCCACTCGTTACACGTTTGAGTGCGACTCAGCCCAGAGATAAGACAGAGGAGCCCTCCTTTCATGCCTTTCTTTAGCATCTAACCCCATAGTCTATTTGCCTGGCACTCCTCCCGCTCTGCTGATAAGGCACCTGACATGGTTGGGGGGGAACGGGACAATTGCATAAAGTATTGCAATAACTTTTTATAACTTAACAGTGAATTTTTCCGACCTTCTCTTCTCCATCGGCCCCTTACCTCTCTGCAGCCACGGCTGTCATGGAGTAAATGCTCACAAACATTGCGGTGATGGGGAACCAGTTCTGAAACCTGCAGAATTCCTCGCCAAAATACCAGACGTTGTGGCTGGCGTAAATAAAATTGAAGATGGTATTGAAGGCAGACATCAGCAAATCTGACAGGGCCAAATTGACGATAAAGTAATTAGTAGCAGTCCTCATCCTCCTGTGGGCGAGAATAATCCAGATGATGGTGGCGTTGCCGACGATGGATGTGATAACGATGAAGGAATAGGTGATAGCCCACAAAGCAATTTGCCATCCTGGCTGGGTAAACTGGGTTACTGCCGTCCAGTTGCCACTGTCCTCGAGGGAGTCAGCCTGTGAAAGGTTGCTAGCATTCAAAACAGAAAATGCGCTCATGGTTTTTTTTTTTTCCTCGGCTAAGCGTAAAATAAAATCTTCTGGCATCTGCTCATTTTCTTGCAGTAGATGCTGGTGCGATGAATCCCCCTGCGTATGACTAAGAGCCATTAAAAACACATCGGGATGAGATGTCTCATGTCCTCGCGTCCTGTTTTCCAAGTGATGCAATGCAGTTCCAGGAGACGAGCGGTACTGAGGGCCTCCTCCTTGCCTAGCATTTTAACCTATGCCCAAAGAGCAAAAACTGAAGAACAACTCTCCCCCTTGAATTTCTTTCTCCTGTAAGAAGAAAAAAAAAAAGGAAGGGAAAAAAAAAAAGGTGTGGGGGAGATGTTTTCCAAGTCAGTGACAGGTAATGTCTTCCTTTAGATTATTTTTAGGGGCAAGAAAATATAAATGGAAGTATCGAGCCAGAAAACACTTCAATCCAAGTGGAAATGCTTCTTTTTCAGGGCAGTGATTTTTCCGAGGCAGCAGGTACCTGAATCCTCTGCGTGGGACTAAGGACTTGGTTTTCCTTGCCTGTGTAACTGTTAAGCGCGAGGCAGGAGCTGTGCTGGGATGAATTCTCTACAGGGTTTAAGGGGACTTGGAAAGGAGGTGGAGTCTCTTGCAGGCAAAAACTAAACAGCCAATTTGACATCAAACGAAACCTGGCAAAGTGGGACTTGAAACATTTTTTTTTTTTTTTTTTTTCCCCCCCCTTCCCTGTGTGTTTTGAAATAATCTCCAAAAGGGACATGCTGCTACACCAGGATTTACAGGTTTAAATGCAAGGGTAGCTTCTTTGTCACGTTTATCAATCCCTCAATCCTGGTGTTTCCAGGACCCTCCCTGGATTCCTGCAAGCTCTTATAGGAAAAAAGAAGTGGAATATATTCAGTGCAATTTTAGCAAGGTGGTCTTGCTCTCTGCAACTATTCGGAGGCTTATCAAGCATTTTTAATACAGTTTACTTAGCGGTGACTGCCCAATGTAATACATCTCAACCAGCCATATTTAGTAGATTTGGTGTGATTTAATTTATTTAAATTACAGCAGCGAGTCCTGTTGGTGCTTGAAGGGTCGCGGATGAGTATTTCCAGGAGAGAAGGCCAGACCTGAGCTGGGACTTCTAATAAGGCTTCAGTGGGAAGCTGGCGTCCAGAGTGTCTATCTGGAGCTCCAGAAATCCTTCTCCTGCTGCTCTCTAGGACGGAAACATCCAGAGGAGCCTCAGCTTCCACGCTCCACAATGCTGAGGGGTTGGACGAGGGACATCCCCTGCTTCGGACTGCCACATCCCCTTCCCAGTGTGTGTTCAAGAAACTCACTGGTCTCTACGCATGCAGGGACAGTATCTGGTCCTCGTAGGAAAGGAGAGCCCCTCTCTCCCCTCTCTGCTTGGAGCACAGTGCTCTTCCTCACCCTCAGCTTGGCGGTAAGTGACAGAAACATAAGCAACACGTTGAGGCTGAGATTTCAAAGAGTACTTGGCGCTGGCTTACGCCTGCTCTGCTGGAAGCTAAAAGTGTTTCAAGGTATTAAAACCTGTTTTCAGATATTAAAAGCTGTTTTCAGGATTCCGAAAGCTCCTGATGAGCAACATAAAGGAAAAACTCCCCCTGTGTATGGGGTGCTAGGATGGCAGTGGTTTTCCAGCTCCCACAGTTCCTGGAGCTGCAGGTTTGCCAGGCTCCTCTGTAACAGGGCACTGTTTATCGGTTCAAGATCCTTTCCACCAGCTCTTTCCTTGCTTCATTAATTTCTGGTGGCAGCCTTCAGTTAACCCATCACTGCAACTCTGTAAAGCAGGTCTTCTCTGATGAGGTATGACCCAAGGGTTGTTTTTTAGAAATGAATACTTTTAGCACTACATGTAGCATTTCCTTCTCACAATGGACTTCCCTGCAGGTGATCTCACTCACCGCCTTGCACAGAAACTGCAAAAATAGGCTTCTGCATATCTTCTCGTGGGCATCGCAAAAGCTGTTCCAGGTGCTTCTTGAAATTCTTCCACTGACACCTCACTAAACAGCTTATGAACCTTCCACTTTCTGTGTGCCATCCATGCTGTGCTTTTCATGATTTGCAATGATATTGTTCTTCATGTTTATTTTCTTTGGCTTGCTTAAATCTCTTCGAATTCCCAGGAGAATATGAGCAAAAACCTCCGTAAGTTTAGCTGAGAGGGCAGCTAAAGCACTTCCATCGGTTTTTTGTTATAGAAAACAAAATGGAAGCAAGCCCTTGGAAAAAAGGCGTGCGCTTTTTTGTGTTTTATTGGTGAACCCCAAAACCTCGCTCAGATGGTTTGGAGATGGTCAGGGTGCCAGCGCTTCCTAGGAACCTTCTTCTGAACCATCTGCCCCAGTCCCTGCTCTGCTCCTCGGGCGATAATTGGAGAGCTGCCACCCTTTGGTCAACATTTCCTCATACGAGTCAGCAGGGACCTGCTTTCCTTTATACACACCCCCCCTTTTACTCGTTTGCTGATGATGTTATCGTCCCTGGAGCCCGGCCAGATGCAGCCTGTGCCATCAGCCTTTTGACTTGCAAACTGGAGCCATTTTTTAACAAAGGTAGGCTCCAAATTCCTTGGGAAAGTTGCACTTGCCCGGTCCTGTGGGCAAAACCCCCCTGGCCAATGATTCTGGAGTTCCACCAGGGAGAGGGACTATCTGAGAGCAGGGCTGGGCGGGTTTCGCTGTTGTTTTTATTACAGGATTGTTCGAGGTCAAACGTTGCTGAGTCACCCATCCCAGGCCTGGGCAAAGGGTGAGAGATGCAAACAAAAGATGCAGGTCTGGAAGGGTGAATAAAGTGCATTTTGTCTTTTGGAAAAAAAAGAAAAACCAATGCAAGGTAAGACTGGCAGCAGAGGCTTTGATTGAATTGTATGTTGGACTCGGCTCTGGGAGGAAAGGACCTTCGTCCAGGGAACAGCTCTGAGAATTGGATGTGAGGACCGTGAGCATCTACCTTGGGTGGGGAAAGGTGCAGCCTGGCTGCAGCTTTATCAGCCTGGCATGGGATGGAAGAAAGCAGCAGAAATGCTGCTGGGAGCTTTGAAAAGCTTAGGGTCTTCCAACACTCCTGTGGTGCAGGACTCGCTGTGAGTTCTCTTCCCTTTTCTGCAGATCTCCTAAAGCCCTGGGTCAAATGCTCTGCAGACCCTGGTGTTTGAAGGCCATCCAGGGGATCCACCATGCCCTGTACACACTTGCAACAGCCCTGGTAGCCCTGAAGGTGGGCGAGAAAACGTGGAAGTTACCGATCCCTAACGTGAACAATCCCACCCCTGGTTGAGCCATCGGATGGCCTCGGGAGCAGATGCTGCTCTGCCTCAAAGCTGGCAGAGATGCCGAGCTCTCGGTTGGAAAACTGCAGCTCTGTGTTGTGTTGGGCTGAGGTGGAAGGAGCACGTCCTAGAAGGACACTCAGCACTGCAGGCAATTCATAACGTCTTACTTTAAACCACCTTTTGCTGCTAAACCATCCTAATTGGGTCCAGAAATCTGACTGTTTCATTGTCTAGACAAAGCCTAGGATTCAGACAAAGAAAAGCATTATCCGATTAGTTCCATGTGGGTTTTGTAACAGGAACCTGTTTTGATGGATTGGCTCAGTTCAGGTGAAAACAGGAAAATGGACACTCCTTTTAAATGGCTTCCTCATCCAGCTGGTCGTGCCCTGAAATTTTATTTGCAGAAACCAGAGCATGAGTGACAAGGCAAGGTATTAGGAGAGTTAAACCAAAACTACTTAGTTAAATACACAAACAAGGAAAACGTGTAAGTGACAGGAATGTGGCTGGATGTAAATGATGCCCATGAGATGTGAAGAATGTGAGGTGGACTCCAATTCCCAGAGCTTACACGAGATGTGATACGATTTCCAGCCTGCACAGCACTGGTAAGTGTCAGGGGTATTTGCAAATTTGTCTGAAAACCGAAGTCGTTGATATTTTAGGAGCTGAATGCTCTAGGACGTTGCATTATGTATCATTGTCAGAGATGTAAGAGGTGATGAGCTGTTCTGTCGCTGGCAGGGACCCAGGCTGGATTACTTGTTTCCCAGAAGCAGAGTTGAGCGCTGCATGCAAAAGCAATGACCCATTTTACAATAGAATTATCCAGGAATTTTTTTTTTTTTTTTTTTTTTTTTAGGTTATACAAAGGAGGTTTTGGTAGCAACTACAGGTTTATTGAACATACCTAACAAAATGACCGACCGCTTATGTGGTTTTAGATGTGCAGCTCGGAGGTTTTCCACAGCCTCTTTGCTTGATAACTTCAGACTGAACGCTGCCCCACTTCATCTCCTCTGATACCAGACGCTGATTTTCCATGCTGTCTGCCTCTGCTCTGGGCCAGGATGCAACAATCAGCTCTGTGACTGTTGTCTGCTGCTTTGAATGAGACTTTTTTTTTTTTTTTTTTTTTTCCCCCCAGAGGAAAATAGTCCTTTGTGGGGAGAGGAGTGTGGCACCGCCGGCTTTGAAAGGGCTTATTTCATCTCGCAGGCATGAATGGCGTTTGCAGTTCATGGTCGCTGGGTGAGACCCAACACTGACCCACTGTCACGGCAGCAGGAGGTGGATAAACGCGGCGTGGGCAGAGAACGCAGCCGCAGCAGCGTGCTCATTAACTCCCATTAACTCTTGCACTTACGCCGCCTTATTTACAGGAGGGGACTTTTTTTTTTTTTGCAGGTGTAATTGCCTGGGTGTTGTAATGAAAGGTAAATGCTCTGGTATTGCTTAATTGTGCAATAGAGTGTAGGAATTCTGCTTTGCGATGGCTGCGTGTGCTTAACCGAAAAAACCCATGGCTCAAGGAGCAGCTTTGCATTCATGTGTTTTTGCCCACCATGCCGTCTCAGAAGTTGCAGAGACCTGTGGATGCATGTGTTGCTATGGGCCAGGGCAGCAGGTGTAGACAGGTGTAGCTAATATATAGAGTAGTGATATATTATTGTTTTTTTTTTTTTCTGACTTCTCCAACTGTGGGGCTAGTCCTTACGGAGCAACCCCTTGCAGCCAGGCATCTGCAAAGGAAAAAGAGAAAAAAAGAAAAAAAAGGATAAGAAAAAAGAAAAAGAGAAAAAAAGAAAAAAAAGGATAAGAAAAAAGAAAAAGAGAAAAAAAGAAAAGAGGATAAGAAAAAAGAAAAAAAGAGAATAGGAAAAAAGAAAAAGAGAAAAAAGGAAAAGAGGATAAGAAAAAAGAAAAAAAGAGAATAGGAAAAAAGAAAAAGAGAAAAAAGGAAAAGAGGATAAGAAAAAAAGAAAAAAAGAGAATAGGAAAAAAGAAAAAGAGAAAAAAGGAAAAGAGGATAAGAAAAAAGAAAAAAAGAGAATAGGAAAAAAGAAAAAGAGAAAAAAGGAAAAGAGGATAAGAAAAAAAGAAAAAAAGAGAATAGGAAAAAAGAAAAAGAGAAAAAAGGAAAAGAGGATAAGAAAAAAGAAAAAAAGAGAATAGGAAAAAAGAAAAAGAGAAAAAAGGAAAAGAGGATAAGAAAAAAAGAAAAAAAGAGAATAGGAAAAAAGAAAAAGAGAAAAAAGGAAAAGAGGATAAGAAAAAAGAAAAAAAGAGAATAGGAAAAAAGAAAAAGAGAAAAAAGAAAAAGAGGATGAGAAAAAAGAAAGAGAAAAAGAAAAAGAGAAAAAAGAAAAGGGGATAAGAAAAAAAAAGAGAATAAGAAAAAAGAAAGATAAAAGAAAAAGAGAAAAAAAGAAAAATATGATAAAAATAAAAAGAGGATAAGAAAAAGAGGATGAGAAAAAGAAAAAGAGGATGAGAAAAAGGATGAGAAAAAGAAACAAGGATAAGAAAAAAAAATAAAAAGAGGATAAGAAAAAGGAAAAAGGATAAGAAAAAGAAAAAGGTGACAAGAAAAAAAGAAAAAAGGATCAGAAAAAGGGAAAAGAAAAAGGAGCGGCAGCCAGCAGCGTTTTGGAGCTTTCCATTCCGCTTCTGCTATTTTTGTTTTGGTTTTTTTTTTTTTTTTTTTTTTTCTTGCCCAGGGCCGGTCCCGCTGCCGGAAGGGAAGCGGCGGCGCCCCCGGAGCCGGCCGCTCCCTCCTCGGGCCGGCGGGAAGGGGAGGGCCGGGAGCGGAGCCGGGAGCGGGGCGGCAGGTGCGGGGATGGCGGCGGGGGACGCGGAGGAAGTGCGGTACTGCGGGAGGTTCTCCTACCTCTGCCTCAAGCTCACCCTCATCGTCTACTCCACCACCTTCTGGGTGAGCCCCACGCCTGGGTTGGTGGGTGGGTTGGGTGGGTGGGGAAGCATCGGGGAGGAGGTTGCGTGGGGTCCCCACCACCACCACCACCTCCTTCATCTCCTTCATCTCCTTGTTCCTGGTGCCTTCCCGAGGTTTTGCAACCATTCGTGCTTTCCCCGGGCACACCTGTGGCTGTGGGTGTAGCTGCCCTGGGGACCGACGGACTGGTTTCGGCGGATAAGAAAAAAAAATAATAAATAAAAATAAAATGATGTAGGCATCTAGTAAAATACTGCTCTTTCCCCCAGGCAAACAAAGCCTTTGCCCTACAGCCGGCCATCCCTAGGTAGGAACAATCCCACACCTTGGCTGGGTGATACTGTGAAGCTTGCTGTGGGGTAGAACCCACGTGCCAGCTTCTGAAAGTGATGAAAATCCCCAGCTTTTGGGTCCAGATAATTACTGCTGACTTCTCAAATTTACCCGGACCGCCGCAGTTTCTAAAGGTGCTTCTCCAAGCTCTGGGAGGCTGGGGGTGATGCTGTGCTGGCTCCAGGCTGTGCCCATGTAGGAGATGCTCAGGCAGGGTTTCCTTCTGCCTCTTGGAATTTAGAAGGTGCTTAAGCTCTTGTTCTGCCCCGATTCTGTGGCAGGAGACGTGGTGGTTGGAAGGTGGGAGCTTGAAGCTTTTGGCCTCTTGCCTGGGAGGGAGAGGTGTGGATCTGCCAGGCTTGATAGTAAGAACCTGATTAAAGCTGCGATGGTGAAGGATGAACAAAAATTGAAATGCGAAGCGTTTGGGTGTAATTCAGGCTTTTGGGGGATCCTGGGTTTAGTTTGGCTTTCCTTATCAAACAAACAGACCGAGGAAGCCCCTTGGGTTTGTACTCCTGAAGTTTCCTGGTGTTACTCCACGGCAGCTATTCCGCAGGTGCCGGTGTCAGAAGAGGGAAATTTGTTGCGTTTATTTTTCAAACCTTTCTTTTTTCTTTTTTTGTTTTGTTTTGTTTTGTTTTTTTGGATCCTGGGTATAGTTTGGCTTTTCTTAGCAAACAAACTGACCGAGGAAGCCCCTTGGGTTTGGGCTCCTGAAGTTTCCTGGTGTTACTCCATGGCAGCTATTCCGCAGGTGCCGTTGTCAGAAGAGGGAAATTCGTTGCGTTTATTTTTCAAACCCTTCTTTTTGGTTTTTTTTTTTTGTTTGTTTGTTTGTTTTTCCAGCATGTCCTCCAGGAAGGACCGTGCGTGTCGTTTGTCACCTCTGCCTTTTCCCACCGGCGAGCCGGGGCCCTGCCTGGTGGGGCTGTAAGAATTAATCTGGAAAAAAAGAAAAAAGGGGCCCTTCTGAAACCTTTCTCTGAGCGTCCCCAGAGCACAAAAGCCCCTTTCAGGCAGCCCGAGGAGTTTATTTACTCTTTGCAGTTGCTTGCTCTGGATTTTCAATGCTCTGCCCTTGTTTATGGCCAAGTGCTGGGCTGGGGAGGAGGGGGGGGGATGGAGGGAAGAGGAAGAGGAGGAAGAGGAAGGATGGGTGCTGCCGGCGTTGGGGCCAAGCACACGCCGGGTTGTGTGAGGAGGCACGGCACGTGGCCCTCCCTCTGGAAATTGTCTTTTATTCTAGCTTAGTGGAGCAGATCTCATTAGCTGTAAATATCAGCCGTTGGTGCTTTTTTTTTCAGCTGCGCTAGTCTTCCCCACTTCTTTTTTTTTTAATTATCTTTTTTTTAAGTGGTGTCAGGGGATGTAAAGATCGGCTGTGGAGTATTGGCTTGCTTAAATCTTGTGCGTTTTGTGGTGTTCTGCTGCTTTTTGGGGCTTTGAGGTAGGGGATGCTGTCGGTTTCCTCTCTTGCCTTGCTGCTCCTCTGGTACATTTGGGGACTGATGAACACCCCAGGGTCACTTAAAACCAGCAGGAACTAAATAACTAAACGTCAGCATTATCCAAAAGCAGAAAGGAAATGAAAGCACCGTGGGAATGATGGAGGGGACTTTTCCTGCTGTCTCTTCCCACGTCACCCCTGGGGGGGTTTTCTTAAAAACTGGTTGTCACTGTAACTTTTCCAGGCAACTGTTTCGTTGGCAAATGAGGCTGTAATGTCATTTTTGTTTCCTGGCTGGGACAACACCCAGCATTTTTAAAAAGGGGGTGCTGTTGTTGATTGGGTGCTTTGTTTAAGAGTAGGTTTTGTAAACACCGGGGTTAAAAGCATTACTTAGAAAGAAATGCTTTTCCTTTCTCTTGGGAAAGTGACCTCCCTGCGTGCAAAAGCCCCAGAGAAGGACCCTAATTTTTTTTGCTGGTGGACACCTCATTTAATGAGAGTCAAGGCCAGCTGATTTTTCCTGTGGACGTGGGGTGAATTGCCAAGTCAGGAGCTGTTGTGGAGGACACAGGATGTAAACAGTTCGTGTGTTGGTGGGATACCTACGTAAAAAGTGGAGTTTCCAGCCCTGGTCACAGGAAGGGAGAAGAGACAGGAGTCTCTAAGTTAGCACATCTGCTTGGCCTAAGTAACGACTCTTACTGGTTTGACCATGTTAAAAAGTTTAAAAGATTTTTATTAAGTGCTTTAAAAAAAAAAAAAAAGAAGGTAATAAAAGCCTAAATCCTGCTTGTGAGGAATAAGGATTTTAATTGTGTGGTTTAGGTTGGATTCCCCCCACTCTCCCAGTAATTTTTATGCTTCAAAATCTGTATAAAACTTGGGGAAAGTGTGTGTGTGTCTACCATAGGGTAGGTCAGCCTGAGGTTTGGTTTTTTTTATTTGGCACGTGCCTTCTGAACCCCATGGTTTGCCAAACTGTTCATTTAGGCTTGCTTGGAAGGGGTTTGATTAGAGAGGTATTTTGTAGCCCTCTTTTTTGGGAGTGAAGTAATTTTAGTGCCTAGTATCCCGAAGCCTTCCAGAGCAAGCGGCTTGGAGCGCTGAGAAGCTCCCCAGTTATCCCCCATGGGTCAAGAGAGAGGAACTTCTCAGTAAAATGTTCTAGGCTTGAAACAACACACTTGTGAAATTCAGACAATCCCCGTCAACTTTCATCCCTGTGTTTTATATCCTTTTTTTTAAAAAAAAAAAATAAAAAAATATATATTTTCTAAACAAGCAATCTACCAGGCAAGGGTTGAGCTTGTTCACAGTGAGTGCTTGCGTGAGTGTCTTTGGCTTTTGTTGTTGTAGTTTGGTTTTTGTTTTTAATACTAGAATTCCTGAATCCCACATGCGTGTACAGTCACAAATTTTATATCCCGTAAGTGTTTTGAGTCTTTTTCCTCAGTTGTTGTAGCTGTATGGAAAAATGTCGAACGGATTTGTTTATATTGTTTTCTGCTGGAAAAGAAATTTATAATTTATTACCCAAATCATTGAATGTTTTTAAAGAATAAAGCTAACACTATGAATTGACCATTTAGTAATAAAAACCCCAATTATAGTTTTGCAGCAGAAGTGTATAAATGGTAAATGTGAGTACCTGTTATTCCTCCAGTGTGCTTTTTCTTCTGCCTTATATAATCAGTACAATTTCTGAATTTGTTGGAGGGGGAGTTAACTCTGAATTTGGTCGTATACATTTTTGAGTTGCTTTTTAATTAGCTTCAGTATACTTATTTTTATGGGTAAACTCTTCTGAGATTTCCCTTTTTTAAATGACAACGTGGTGGCATTCCTCGCCTAACATCCTTTTGTTTTTTTTATTCTTACCCGTAGAAAATCAAGAGTTTCCGGCAAGTTGTTGTTTATTTTAAGATAAACCTGTTTAAAAAAAATATTTCAACTGTTGGACTCGGGATCTTGCAGCTCAGTGTGTCGTGTGTCTTTGTGTGGGGTGTACCCTGTGAGGCTGAAAAGCTTTGTATATTTAAGAAATGGGCTCTCCTTGCTTTTGGTGTGTGGGGAGCAGAGTCGGGGTTACTGTGGAAATGCGGGGTCAGAAGTGGGGGGAACGCTGTTTATCAGGTTGCCAACGTGATTGATTAGAATCTGGGCTCTTCCCTGAGGATGTGCCTGGCTGTTGGGGTCGGCAGTAAAGTTTTTCCACTGCAATTTTCATGATTAAGTGTTGTGGGCTAATTTATTTTATTTTATTTTTTCGAATTCAGCAGAATTCAAAGCAACTTGCAGCACGCTGTACGTTTAATACCAAATTATTTTGACTTAACTGTGATTATTTGGATTAAAATATCTTTACCTTGTTAAACAAAATGCACCGCTTCTTGCTTGGCTTGTCAGTTTTATTTGGTAGTTGCTCAAGAAAGTGGCATCATTTCAAACTTGAGAATTTGGGGTTTTTTTCCTTTTTAATCCAGTGCATTTCCCCCGATGGCAGGAGGTATGGGATGGCCATATCTACTGACCCTAAATATAGCAGGAGCTGATAGGAAGGGACATTGAGGCTCTCAGAAATGGTGTAGAAAAGGTGTTGTGTTAGGGGCACGTGTGTATATACACACACACATATACATACATACATGTACACACAGAGAGAAGACAGACAGACCCACAAAGTAGGATATTAATGCCATGGCATTTGCTAGTGTAATATATGTGATCTCTGAGGAGTAATAAATTACATTTCAACCAGTGACGTATGTTTCTATTCGTTTAACTTCCAGAATGTTAAAACATGATTAAATATATTTCTGAAACGAAAAAAAATCTTTTTTTTTTTCCTAACTCAGCTGTTTTCTGCTTTAGTCTTTGAGTTGGTTTGGGTTGGTATTTTGTTTTTTTTTTTAATCCAAACTTCTGATTTGAGCGTTTCGTTGTTTATAATTAATTCTGAAGTGAGAAGTCACAGGTTCACGTGTGCTCACAAGATGTCATCTCTGTGTTTCACTGGGAGAAAGGGTAACATCTGTGTTCTTCTCTTCTTCTCTTTCAGGTGATCGGAGCCCTTGTCCTGGCGGTTGGGATTTATGCAGAAGTCGAAAGACAGAAGTACAAAACTCTAGAAAGTGCCTTTCTAGCCCCGGCAATTATTTTAATACTTCTGGGCATTATAATGTTCCTGGTCTCTTTTGTGGGTGTCTTGGCTTCTTTAAGAGACAATTTATGCCTCCTTCAAGCAGTAAGTGTCGGGGGTTTTTTATTCTCCATTTTTAAGGCTCGTTGCTTTTGCTTTTCGGTGTCACCTGAATTCAAACCCACACCTGTGTCTGCACTGAAAAATACTTTAATAAATTTGCTTTTTTTTTTTTTTTTTTTTTTTTGGTGTCACCTGAATTCAAGCCCACACCTGTGTCTGCACTGACAAATACTGTAATAAATCTGCTTTTTTTTTTTTGGATTTTAATTAAATCAGAAACTGCTTTGTGGCAGTGGTCCCCTACCCCGTGGTCTGTGGATGTCCTTCCATCAGTAGTTATCAGAAACTGCTTTATGGCAGTGGTCCCCTACCCTGTGGTCTGTGGATGTCCTTCCATCAGTAGTTCACCTTGCCAGCTGCAGGACAGGAGACAGCCTGGCGCTGGGAAATCCAGCTTTCCAAGAGTTAAGGGCTTTATGGAAAACAACCAGGAATGTGAATTATTATCAGCTGGCGTGGATCTTGTGCAAACTCAGCTGTTGACGTACGGATTGATGCCAGCCTGGCACCACGGTGCCCGCTCTTTCTCTGACCTGGCCGTGCCTCACTGGGATGGGGAGGAGGAATTAGTGCTGCCCCTTGGCCGATGGAAAAGGTGAAGTCTTGGCTGCACCTTCTCCCCATCAATTCCAGGGGTTTTCCTGAAGCTTTCATCCTGGGATGTGGAGAGATGAGTTGTGGTCTCTGGTTGTTCTCCAAAAGCTTTTTGGAGGAAACCACTGGAAAAAGAAACCCCAGTCAGGCTCATGTCCGTCAGGCTGGCGGTGGCTGGGGTCTGTCTGTCTGTCTTCAGCTGGCAAGGGGAGTGTGGTGGGGAGAAATGCATGTTAGGACATTCGCTGTGTAACACCAGAGAAGGGCCTTGAGGGGGAGAGGACAGGGACACAGTTTTTCTCCCTGAGAAGGTAATCCTAAAGGGTGAATTTTAGGGAGATTCCTGCAGAACGCTGTGGTTGCAGATAGAAGTTGTGCATGTGACCACTTAAAAATAGAGCATGAAAACGTAATTCTCACTTTCATGTCGGTTCAATGTAAAGAAATGCTAAATACATGGTATGTTACAGAGGACAAAGCAAGAGGGAAGTGTGGATTTTGAAATCAGGCTGGAATTTTACCGAGAGCCTGACCTTAGGCAGTGGTGGCTTCTTTCACTCTGAGCGTGGTGATGTGTCCTCGTCTGATGTCGAGGAGATTTTCTGTTCCCTTTGTGGCAGCAAAGTGGGTAGGGTATTTAAATGAAGAAAGCCCCTGATGTCTTCTTCTCAGGCTGATTCCAGATTTAGCAAGAGAAAAGATATCCATTCAGTGAATTTATGACACTGACAGCGGGACTGAGAGCCCAGAAATGAAACCAGCTTTTGCGGCGAAGCATTAGAGATTATTTTCAGATGAGGGATCCTAAAACTTCTTTCCTGATGAAGTTTGCCATTAAGAAGCAGGCCTGAATTCCCTTAACAGCCATCTTTTATGCCTAAAGAATCCTTTGGGTTGGAACAAACATTTCAAGTACTGGCAGGTCGCAGTTGCCTCGTGGTGTTGCTATGGATTTCTTCATGTTATTCATATTTTGCCTGCGCTTTGAAAAGTAGTCACAGATGCATACATTGTGGTGGCATGTGAGTGCATATATATATATATACACATGCAGAGATGAAAAAAATAAATAGGGAGCTAGCAGGTATAATTTTTCTTAGCCCTGAGCATGGTGAGTCCTGTTAGAGCCCATGGTGCAGCCTGTGTGCTCAGCTGGCTCGGTAATGGGTTCCCTCTCCTGAAGCAGCAGACTAAAAGGTGTCCAGCCCAGAATTTTGCTTTGCTTTAAGGCTGGCAATTTAGCAGAAGGTGGTTTGGATTGTCTTTAAAGCACTGCTTTACCCAAGAAATGGAACCTAGCAGGGAAGTCTTTGCAGGAAGCATAAAGACACAACGTCTGGTATGGTCCATAGGAGTCCGTTGACGTGCTGCTCTGGGATGCTGTTATGGAGAGAAGGATCTTGGCACGATAGATACATCTGTCGGTTTTCACTGAATCCCAGAATGATACGGGGTTGGAAGGGACCTCTGGAGATCATCTAGTCCAACCCCCCTGCCAGAGCAGGTTCACCTGGAGCAGGTTGCATTCAAAGCAGAAAAAGAATGTGTTTGCCAGTTGGGCAAAACCCAGAATGACTCAAATGAGGAAAAAAGACTTTATAAGAACAAAGCCATCATTTTCTATCTTTCTTTAAAATGACAGTTCACGTGCAGAAAGCCAAGTGTGTTGGCAATTGAACGTTACAGACTTAAGGCAGCTAATTGAAAGAGTAATTGGGATTTGTTGTGTTCATGGTCTCACTTGCGATCGTTTTTCTGCAGTTCATGTACATTCTTGGTATCTGCTTGCTGATTGAGCTGACTGGTGGAGTGGTGGCCCTGATCTTCAGAAACCAGGTGAGCTGCTTGCATTTAGGCTTTGCTCACCAAGAACCTCACTCGCAATCCCCAGAGTTAGGGCTGCTGAGCAAATAAAAAGCCTTAGAATTGTCACCTGAGCACTAATTGATGGAAGCCTGAAGGCAAGTCCAGACTTTTCAGGGTGTTTCGTGTTGGGGTATGTGTGGGATTGGCCACCTGTTCTGCAGATGAAATCCAGATTAACGAATTTGGAGAAAATCTGGTAACTAAGAATGTGCAATACAGGTAAAACGGGTTTCTAGCTCTTGGTGTATGACAAAGTGCTTTCTTCTCATTTGCCTACTGGGTCTCAGACTGCTGATTTGGGAATTTTCCAGCGGGATTGGGGAACTTTGTTTTGTTTTTTTTTTTTTTGTGGCTAAAATGTTTTACCTTACCTAAAGGACAGCTCTTCCATGCCCACGTCCGTGAGCAACCTCACTAATTTCTGTAGGAGACCCCGTCATTCACAAGTGTGCTATAATTACATAATTAATTTCTCTAAACAGAAAGAAGCAGAGTTTTTTGGTGGTGTTAGAAAAGTTTTAAAACTTAAATGTGTTCACCGTTGCAAGGAGTAGGTTTCTATGCTTTGATTTTTTATTTTTTTTTCCCAAATCTGGCAAAATACGAGCGTTGAAAGGAGATGCTAAATAATAAGACCTCTTCCCTCCCCACCCCAATCCTACCAATCTCATTTCCACAAAAAGGACTCATACCAACTATGTTATGTGTTGTTTAAAAAAAACCTAACAAGCTGTAAAAAAAGTTTATTTTTTTTTTTTTTAAATAATGACTGATTGTTATTTTGAAGCAGTATTATGTTTTCCCTAGCTAGTGTTTTCTTCTTACTCTGTGCTGGAAGGGAGTTGTGAACTTGTGACAGCAGGGGATGAGTTATCTCCATTTCCAGAAGCTGTCACCGTAGGTGTCGCCTTGGCCCCACGCAAGGATTTATTCTGCATTGTGGTGGGGATGCCAGGCTCAGCTGAAGGGAGCAGATCAGCCTGTCCGGTGCAGGAGTGTGGGCATCACGGGATGCAGAGAATGTGGCTGACTGAAAATTAAGCAGATGCCAAAGAGGGTATTTGCTGAGAGGGCGAGGAATAATTGCTGTTGACTTTTGGGCAAAGAAAATGAATTGTTGTGGTTTTTGTGCCGTAAGCGTTTTCCCTGACACGTGTATGGGCTGCCTGAGCAGGACAGCTACGCTCAGGGACAGGTTTGGTTTGCTCTTTTACAAGGTTAATGGAGAAGCTGGGGTTAGTAGGGGGAGGAGAAGGAAGTACTTAATAAAAGCTTAGGGTAATAGCTTTCATTTAAATGTTGATTGTTTTGCATGTCTCACTGGTTTTTCCAATTTCTTTCTCTATTTCCTTCTCAAATCTGTTGAGTGTGAGGTGGCACAGGCAGCACGGGAGAAGTTGGCGTGTTCCTTCTCGGCCAGTGAGGGTAGTCCTGCAAAATCCATCCTTATTTCTAACCACTGAATGCCATGATTGTTTTTGTTCTGTTTTCCTTTAAAGTGTTGCAGTTTGTAACGCTGAGAAAACGGGCAGGTGTATTCCAGGTTTCTTTCTGATCATTTTAGCAGCTGGGTTGAAAGGGAAGTTGCTGTGTTCTGCTTATGTTTAGTCTCAATTTTTTGTTGTGTTATGGTGGTGCTGGATGTTGAAAAACAAATACTCTTTATTTTTTGCCTCATCTTCTAAGCTTCAAAAGTGTTTTGTTGGTTTAATTTCTAATATGCCAAACTGAGGAGGTACCATTTTATATCTGCCACCACTCATCTGCCATATTTCTCAAAATCATGACTGTAAAACATACAGATAATGAGATATTTTCTACTTTTTTTCTGCTTAAGGTGGAATAAAGCTCATATCTGGCAATTATGGATTCCATGGAAAGTTAAATTCATGGAAAATGAAATTAATGGAAGATGGTGGTCAGGGAGACAGCTTGTGTTGCCCCGGGACGGTGCCAAGACCCATCACCCAAACCCACTGCTCTGTTACCCAAAAAACAATGGGGATCCCCAGATCCCAGTGGGGAGGGATCCTGCCTTCCCATTCTCAGCCTGGGGGGCAACGGGGCCATCTCTGGGAGATGTTTGGAGAGCCTGAGGGAAGCAGCACCTCGCTGGAGAGGTGTCATGCTGTTACCACTCCTCAGCACAAAGCCAGCAGTGGGGAATCTTCCTTAAAAAGAGAACTGGGGGTCAGTCTCTGCAGGACTGTGCTGTGATTGTTTTTTAATTTTTTTTTTTTTTTTTTAGCTGGTATTTGTTTTTCCTTAAAAAGAAAAAAAGCCTTTCCTCTTGTGCTCCTCAATTACACTTGTCACTTTAACCTGTTCTTTTAGTTTTGTTTCAGCCTGCGTAGCCTATAAATCTTGTCTTAATTCTGCCTTCCAGACAATCAAATTTTTGAACGATAATATAAGAAGAGGAATTGCGAATTACTACGATGATTTAGACTTCAAGAACATCATGGACTCTGTTCAAAAGCGGGTTTGTGGTTTATTTTTGTTTTGTTTTGTTTTTTCCTGGGACTAATTCAGTGCTGAGGTGTGGTAGGTCCTGGGTGACAGCTTTGATTTTTTTTTTTCCAGTGATGTGATAATCAAATTCTTACTGGTGAGGGGGAGGAGATCTCCTGTGTCATCTGTTATGGCGTTGCTGCAGGCAGGGCTCCTCCAGCATCCCAGCTGGGATTTGAAGCCCTCTAAATCACCACAAGGAGCTGGGGGGGCAAAATACAGCTTTTTGCCATGGTAGGTGTGATACAGATGCTCAGGGCCAGATCCTGCAGATGTGTGGGCTTATAGGGGCCCCACAACTGGATTCAGACAAATTCAGCCCAAATCCCACCCAAGCTCTTGTGCTGAATGTTTATAAGGGCTGGTCCAAGACATTCAAAAGCATCTCATTAACAGGAGGCACGGGATAAAGAGAAATTAGGTGGCAATTAGGATGTTTGAACATGGACCGTTGTCTTTTCACTTGAGGGCACGTAGCAAGCTTTTTTAACGAGGGAGTTATTCAAAGGAGATGCCCGTGGAAGTGCATATACCTGTAATTAAAATTCAGAAATTGTGTTGAGCACAGCTGAGCATTACTTAACGGCACGTGTAGTTGACTCAACGGCCTTATATTTTTTTAAGGCTGGTGCGTTGAAATGTTTATTGGATTATTGAAGAGCTGTGCCGTGCAGTTCAGAGACTATAGAAGAAGCAGAAAATGTTCAGAAATGTGATGTCAGGGCCCATGTGATGTCAGGGCCCATGCCAAATAATGATTTAAAAAAATAATATAATTTAACTTAGGAAGTGATATGTATATTTTATGACATCGTTATGGAGATGGCAGCCTGCTTTGAAAAACAAAGTTAGAATGGAAAGTTTGTCAAAAGCACACCATCCTGAGGAAATTTTGTCATTAGGCTTCATAATGCTTTAAAGTTTCCATGCACTGCCCAAAATTATGTATACATACAGCGAATATACATTTTAGTGATTAAATGAACTGCTTTTCCCCCTTCCTTTTACTCTATAAAGTGAATATTTGTATTAAGTCAGTGTAAACTTACAGTATTTGTTTGCCAGATCTCAGTTCTACTAAATTACACCCAAAATGTTTTGGTGATATTTTTTTAATGCCTTATAACAACACTTGTCTTTTAGGCTGATGTAGAAATGTAGTCACAAACTTTAAAAAAAAAAAAAAGAAAAGGAAGTATATTACAGCTGGAGGTGGAGTGAATGTAAAAACATTGCTTAATGATGTCCAGACCTGAAAAGATAATTTTTCAACTCGGAAAAGATGGGAGGTGGAACTTAGCACTGAGCGCTGTGCTCTGGCACCCTGGGGAGCAGCTTGATGAGTGACGAGGGAACGCTACCTATAGCTTAACTATTTTCAGTTGTATCTATCATGTACATTCATATGTGCCTTGCTGATCAAATGACAGGATTGCTGGGCGCTCTTAAAATTGTTTTATTTCATTCTCACTTTGTTTTCTACTTATTAGAAGAGTTCCTGTTAAGATAACGATATTATTTTTTTTCCATTTGCCTTTTGTGCCTTTTTTTTTTTTTCCCCCCAGTTTAAGTGCTGTGGTGGGGAAGATTACAGAGATTGGTCACAAAATGTATACCACGACTGTGCAGCGCCGGGACCGCTGGCCTGTGGGGTGCCCTACACTTGCTGTGTCAGAAATAAGGTAAGTCCCAATGCTGGCATCTCAGCCTGACTACCAGTCTGTGATGAACTGGTATTAACTGGTGCTGGCAGCGCTAGAAGCAGGCATTAAATTCCATGTGAATGTGGTTTTATATAAATTTTAGCAGTTTTAATGCACGTCTCTCCATTTGAGGGATGGACATAACGCTGAATTTGATAAAGAACTATTCCTCACCTTAAAACCAGTATGGGCAGTCCCTGCCTCACTGGGTTTTGGTCTTTGATCTGAACACAGGACAGAGAAATTGAGTATGTTTAGGAGCAGAGGCAGTAGAGCTCATGATGAATAACCTCTCGGTGCCTGTTCTGTGCTGCCCTTTCAAAGCCTGCCTTGAGCACGGCTGTTTTAATTAAAAAAAGGAAAAATAAATGCAGTAATTGTGTCAGTAATCCTGCTGAGAAATGTGTATAATATGAAGGTGTTTATTGCGTGTGCTTACACGTTTTTGGAGTATGAGAAAGACTCTGTTTAAATCTGTGCTGAGCTTTGATTTATTCTCAGAAACCAAAGCTAAACAGTTACGCTTTTAAGTCTTAGGTGTTTGAGAATAAGAAAACCGTGGACATGAAAATAGTATCTGCTGATCCACAGCTGCACTGAGCAGAAGAGTTCAGGATTTTGCCCTCTTTTGATGGTAAAGGAAGATAGAGCTGTCTAGTGAAGCAATCTGTCCTTTTAATGGTTGTTCAAGACACTGCTTGTTTTTCTGTAGCTCTCGTTTCTCTGTTGAAGTCGTGATTTAAAATGTTAGTTGATGTGTGTGGAAATACAGCAGTACTGTGAAGGCAAAGCTCTGCAAGAACCAGTGACATCTAATGCCCCGTGCCTTCCCAGCTGCAGCACAGATAATCAAACACATTGAGGATTTCAAGTGCAACCTGTCAGGCAGGAACGTGCCAAAATGAAAATTTCTCTGAAGAAAACAGGGAGTACATTATCTGTATGCTGAATTGGCAACTGCAGAATTGGGGACAAGACTACCTGTAGCCTAAAGGTAGCCTGCAAAGTGTTAAGCTCAGAGAAGTTAATCAAAAAATAAGGAGAAGCCCGAAAATCATAGAATCATGGAATGGTTTGGGTTGAAAAGGACCTTCAAGATCATCCAGTTCCAACCCCCTGCCCTGGGCAGGGACACCTCCCACCAGACCAGGTTGCTCCAAGCCCCATCCAGCCTGGCCTTGAACCCCTCCAGGGATGGGGCAGCCACAGCTTCTCTGGGCAACCTGGGCCAGGCTCTCACCACCCTCACAGTGAAAAATTTCTTCCTTCTATCTAATTTAAATCTCCCCTCTTTCAGTTTCAAACCTTTACCCCTCATCCTATCAGCACATAACAAGCAGACTTCTTATTTTTTAAGGCTGGGCTGTTCAGCAAGAAGCTGCAGTGTGTTAGGGCTTGTGGCTTTGCTGCCCTGGGATGCCATTGATGTGCCCTGTGACATCCAAGCAGCACGTTGGCGTGTTCGACAGGGTGGCACTAACACCCCTGGCTGTACAGCTGGCTGGCTCAGGGAAAAAAAAAAAAAAATCCCAACCAGAAGATGCATAAATCTTCCGTGTTTGACAAATGCTTCCAAATACAGGCTGGTTTCTGTCCTGGAAAGCTACAGATATGGTTTGTGATTACTCATTCACTTTGTAGTCATGGAAAACTCCTGCTAATGTCGGGGGTTGGATCCTGGTCCTCTTAAAAAGCCCTGTGCTAAGACGAGCCAGGCTCATGTGGGGGGAGCAGGGATCAGAAGGGACTATTTTCAAGTCAAAGTATTTATTAAGTACTTATGCTAGTGTAGCAGATAAAAATTCATCCCAAATGCTCATAAACCTCTGTTTCTGATGCCTTTCTCTCTGTTGCATACGTTTTCTTGTTCTGTGATTAGCAAAAAAAACTCCACAGACATCACTACATCTTGCTTAATTTAGTGAGAGGGTATATCAAACCCCAGAGTTTGCTCTGTCTTATTTTCCTGATGTGCATATTCTCATTTTCCTCCATGTCTTTGGCTGCCTTTGATGCTGGTGAGCTCTATGTGGGTTGATGTGAAGGACAGTATTTTCACGTTGGCTTTGCCAGGCTAGGTAGAGCTTCAGGATGTGAGCAAAATATTAAGCGGCCACAGAAAATGCATTAGTAATCTGTAATAAATGCAAGCACTCAGTCTTTTTTTTTTTAAAATGTATGAATCTTATATATATTATGATATATATAAAAACATATTCTGCTAGAGTAAATTTGGTCTCATAAAATGTTCATGTAAGCATTCGTATTATTGGCTGTTATTTGAGTTTCGGATATTCCCGAGCTTAAGTTTGTCATCGTGATGGTATGATGGCTGTGTTCCTCCCTGGTTTTCTTAATGTGTTAAGTTATTAAGGCCGTAAAATTAAACCCAGCTGTTTCTTCTGTGGAAACAGCTGTGGCACACAGCCCCGTTGTAGCTAGCTTTGGTTTCTGATGCCACGCTGGTTTTGCTGGATAGATACGGTTCAAATAGTCTTGTGTCGTGACACACTGGCACTACTGATTTCTCTGAAATCACGTCGAGCTCGATCTACATCTGACCCTGGGGGTTCAGGGTAGAAATCAGTGCTGGATGGGCCAGTAATCCCCTGGTGTTGCTTTTAGATGGGCTGGTGCCGAGGTTGGTGCTGTGGCTTTTGCCGGTATGGGCAGAGGTGTGGGGCTGGCCAGTTGGGGGGCAACCGATGCCGCTGGGCTGTATCTGTGCCGTGACTCCTGCTGGTACCAGTGGGGCCAGTGTGGCTTGGCCAGTTGTTGGTGTTTCTGCTGTCTTTGATTTCACCTGAGGGACATGAGTAGCAATATTGCACGTCGCGTAATATTCCTGCACTGATGTTTAACAAAAAAACCACCCATGCAACAGGTTCGGGAAAATTGACCACAAAAATCATGACTGAGTGAAAGTAACGTTCATTCTCTAACCAGCCCAAAGGTTTTCCATCCCCTAGCTCCCATGGCATCACTTTGGCATAATCACTAAAGGGTGAAGTAAACTTTCCCCAGGTGAAGCTGAAAGTGTACTTAGTAAAAGACTCTATCGTGTGATGCCCCAGATATACAGGTATATCCAATAATCATATTATACGTCTGAAGGCAAATCCACACCAAAATAGCACACTTGACCCACCGCATCCAAAAAGAAGAAATAAACCAGGCAGTATATTCTGCCAGTTGAGCACCACTGCATCAATTAACTTCATAGAGGCACGATATAACTTTTCACGTAAGAACGACGTGATATGACCCGTCTATTCTCCCTGAGGAAGCTGGAGTTCAAACTATTCAGGCAATCTGTCAGAGCTCTGGTCAAGCTCTGCTCGTGCCCCACATAAATCTGTCGTGGTTTAGGCTGAATCAAGCAATGACTGGTGAAAAATACTCTCTCCCCACCTCTCGCTCGCAGGAGAAGAGGAGGAGAGATAAAGAGATTTACGAGTTTAGAAGGAACTAAACTACTTTAATGAAATACTAACAATAAAAGAAAAAGGAAATAATGAAATAGATACAATATATACAAAACCATATCAAGCTCCCTGGATGATGTCAGCAGCAGACATTGGGGAAGTCCAACCTAGATGATTCTATGATTCTGAGTCCCAGACTGAACTCAGTGATGGATGGGAACTGGATTCCCCCAGACTGAACTCAGTGATGGGTGGGAATTGGATTCCAGATCTGGGTTCAGAAACGCACGGATTGGAATCGAAGGCAGATGAACAGACAGGGTCCTCTTCAGCTGTTGGCCATGGAAGAAAGAGGCTGACCCTTGGATCCCTCAGCTTTTATACTGAGCATGGGGCAGATGGGATGGAATATCCCTGTTGGTCAGGTTTGGGTCACCTGTCCTGTCTGCTCCTCCTCATAGGTGGGACCCCTCTATGATTTTCCGTTTCCAACCGTCCAATGGGGTAAATAATGAAATTAGCTGACCTTGGTTGTTATAGCAGTAAGTATAAGCAAGACGATTTTCAGTTTCCAACCATCCAATGGGGCAAATAATGAAATCAGCTGACCTTGGTTGTTATAGCAATACTGTTGGCCATGGAAGAAAGAGGCTGACCCTTGGATCCCTCAACTTTTATACTGAGCATGGGGCAGATGGGATGGAATATCCCTGTTGGTCAGGTTTGGGTCACCTGTCCTGTCTGCTCCTCCTCATAGGTGGGACCCCTCTATGATTTTCCGTTTCCAACCGTCCAATGGGGTAAATAATGAAATTAGCTGACCTTGGTTGTTATAGCAGTAAGTATAAGCAAGAGCCTCTCTGCGTCCTGTTCCTTGGCATGAAGTACAAACATTGACCTTATCACTCTGAGAACGAGCAGTTTTCTGCACAGTATGCTGAGTTAGAAGAGGCCCAGCTAAAAAGTAAAATTGATTTTCCGTTTCCAACCGTCCAATGGGGTAAATAATGAAATTAGCTGACCTTGGTTGTTATAGCAGTAAGTATAAGCAAGAGCCTCTCTGTGTGTTGTTCCTTGGCATGAAGCAGAAACATTGGTCTTATCACTCTGAGAACGAGCAGTTTTCTGCACAGTATGCTGAGTTAGAAGAGGCCCAGCTAAAAAGTAAAATTACTGAATGGAAAATTGGTTCTGTTTTGCTGTTCACTGGGTGAACAAAAGAAGAGTAAAAAATTTATTTTTTTGTGATTTTCGTTTTCTGCTATAGTTTATATTTGTTTTCTTCCTTTCAGACAGACATCATCAACACTATGTGTGGATACAAAACGATTGACAGAGAGGTAATGTAACCAGCATCCATCCTGTCGTGGCAAAGGGTTGGGCTTCTCTGCATTTTTTTCATCAGTTATAAAACTGTCTTCTGCATACGTAATTCTACCAGACAGTTAAACCAGTAGTTAAAATTATTTTATCTGGAGTAGCTTTCACATATTAAAAAAAGTAATCTTGTTTGATTGTAGGATCTTCCTTTCCTTCGATCTTCCTTTCCTTCTATCTTCCTTTCCTTGTATCTTCCACAATTCCTCATTTGACGTGCATGAAGCGTTCCTTCCCAGAGCTCCCCACCCATTACACTAATTGCACAGTTAATACATGGTCCAATCCTTTTAAATGGGGACTTGGATTGGGGAAAGGTTTTAATACCAAAAAGCCAAAGTTTCTCACTGAGTAAAATTGGTTTCAATAAAGCCGACTTAGCCGTTTCTAGCTATTTTATATCCCAGTAGTGGGTGTTCTATTTTTAAGCCTGCTAATAATTATTCTTGGAAGAGGAGTGAGACTTCCCAGCCCTCTTCTCACTCTGGGAGTGGGATGGGACCCCATCCTCCGTCCGTTTTTTCCCTCCTGGGAATAGCCTGGTGACTCCAGAGTAGAGACTGCCAGCTCAAGGCACTAAACGTGGGGTGATTAAGCAAGGAAATCAGTAATTGGATCCACTGCAAGTTCTCCACTCCTAGCTTTGGAGTGGTGCAAGGGGTTGGTCTAAAAAAAAGCCCCTCTCCCAGCTCATTTGAAGCACTTGGCGCACAATGCCAGCCTCAGTTGTTGGTTTTTGGGATTACCGGTTATCTTTACATATGACCTGTCTTCATTTGGATTCATTGATTTATGGCTTAATCACCTCAAGGCTCCAGCCTGGCTCTAATGCCCAAAGCACTTAAGCATATGCTTAATTTTACCCCATTCATCTGCTCAGGACTCTTTGCAGTCTCAAGTGCTTTCTATATTATGGGTTGGGGTCACGGTGCAGCACAGCTTGTGGGACTGAATCTGAAATCCTCTTGTTCCTGCCCTTTTTAGAGTCTATTGCAAAGCACTTGGTCCACGATTTGTGCTTCTCTGCTGCTGCGCTTTCAACTTGGAAGCAGAGGTAGAAGCTAAAGAGAGACTTCTCTGCTTTCCAAGTGGCCAAAAATGAGAATGGGATGCATTTCTTTTAGAAAAGTAGTTGCAAAAAAAAAAAAAAAAAGGTTTAAAAAATAAAATAACTTGTTCAGGTGGGGAACAACTTAAAAAAAGACTGAAGAATTAGTGATGAAGTCTTTGTCAAATTTAGTGGGTTTAAAGAGATGGGAAGAAGAACCAAGTTTGCCTCCCTGAAACTGGAATTGCCACGTGTTAACTGTATCATACACCAGTATGACTGCTTGTTTGAGTATCTGCTTTGACATTTTGCAGCGCTTGAGTGTTCAGAATATTATATATGTCCGTGGATGCACGAATGCAGTGCTAATTTGGTTTTTGGACAACTACAGCATCATGGCTGGTGTGCTGCTCGGCATATTGCTACCCCAGGTAAGAAGGGGCCAGCGCGTTGTCCATTAAAGGGAGTATCTGATTTGTCTGACTATATTTAATTGTCATTTTAAACTTAAATTTAACATAACTTACGAACTGAGGGAGCATTCTGGTAATTTGGTAGCATTACTGTGATATATTGCAGGGTTTGGTGGGTTAATTTGGTTTCGCTTGGGGTTTTTTGAGTCCTCTCCTCCCCCTGGCTGTGTCCACAAAGGCTTTCCAATGCTCCAAGGCACAGGTTTGGTTAATTTTCTGCTATATTAGCTCTTCACAAAAACATTCTGTTTATACCCCTGTATGCAAAGAACAATAACAATGTGAGTTTCTGTATGTATACGTACTGCATATCTGCCCCTGTATCTGACATACAGAATCACAGAATGCTATGGGGTGGGAAGGGGCCTCTGGAGATCATCCAGTCCAACCCCCTGCCAAAGCAGGTCCACCCAGAGCTGGTTGTACAGGAACGTGTCCAGGCGGGTTTGAATGTCTCCAGAGAAGGAGACTCCACCACCTCCCTGGGCAGCCTCTTCTGGGGCTCTGCCACCCTCAAAGTGAAGAAGTTCCTCCTCATGTTTAGATGGAACTTCTTATGTTCAAGTTTGTGCCCATTCCCTCTTGTCCTGTCCCTGGGCACCACTGAAAAAAGACTGGACCCTTCTTCATGACACCCACCTTTTAAGTATTTGTAGGCGTTGATCAGATCCCCCCTCAGCCTTCTCTTCTCCAGACTAAAAAGGCCCAAGTCCCTCAGCCTTTCCTCCTAAGAGAGATGTTCTAGGCCCCTCATCATCTCTAGCCCTCTGCTGTCCCCTCTCCAGCAGTTCCCTGTCCTTCTGGAACTGGAGAGCCCAGAACTGGACCCAGTGCTCCAGATGGGGCCTCCCCAGGGCAGAGCAGAGGGGCAGGATGACCTCCCTCCACCTGCTGCTCACACTCTTCCTGATGCCCCCCAGGATGCCATTGGCCTTCTTGGCCACAAGAGCACATTGCTGGCTCATGGCCATCCTGGTGTCCACCAGGACTCCCAGGTCTTTCTCCTCAGAGCTGCTCTCCAGCAGGTTACCCCCAACCTGTCCTGGTGCAGGGGGTTATTCCTCCCCAGGTGAGGAGGAATACAAATATACGTGTACTTAATTTGTAAAAAGAGAAGTAGTGCTGGATAAGCAATACTTGATGTCTGCTGAGAGATGCCCCTTTCCTTTTGCAGTTCCTGGGTGTGTTGTTGTCCTTGCTGTACATAACTCGGGTGGAAGACATCATCACCGAGCACAAGCTGAGCGAAAGGCTGTTTGAAGACGTGGGGCAAAGATCTGCCCCCGAGTTCTCCGAAGCTGGCTGCTGCATGTGCTACCCGGGGTGACTTGGGAAACCTCAAATGTGGTTAAAAAACAAAAACAACAAAAAAAGGAGAAGACAAATCCACCTGTTCTGGTTTCTGCTGGCTGTTACAGACTGGGGGGTGTAAGGAATGGGCCAGCAGACCATGGTGGGCAGGTGGGGAGGGCGCCGATCCCCCCGTAGCCTCGTTGCTCTCGGTGTGTCTGCGGCCAAAGCCACACCAGGAGGGCTCCGCGCTGCTGCCGGCGATGCTGCTGGAAGGTGGGCTTGTGGATCATTAAATCTTGGGTTGTTGGTTGTTTTTTTTTTTTTTTGGTGAATGATTGCTGAGTGATAATGCAACTGGGAAAGTGATTCTGGGACGATTTGAAGGTAGATTTCTCAGAAGAGCCTTTGCATCTTGGGATGTTGAATTTAAATGTTCATCCTTTCCAACTTCATCTTCTTACTCCTTCCAAGAAAGGATTTCTTACTGATCTACATGGTGAATATTAAACGTGTGTTTAATAAATTTTTTTAATGCTAATCTTGATGAATTTACTGACAATAATGGATGTGATGCTGAGCACTTTCGTTGCTCAGTCTTTTGTGCCTTTTAATAATGGGGCAGATGCCGACGTTGAATCAGTCAGGTAATGCTTGATATATTTTTAATGCAATTTGTTATTGTCTGGCTTTTTTATAAACTTATGGGATGTTTGAGTCTTGTATGTACTGTATATTTCCTCTTTAGTGAATTAACTAGGTGATTTATGATTTTTTTTTTGAGTTCTGTGTGTTGACATGTTTCGAAATTTGATTCTTCTTGTCAAAACAAAACGAGTAATTTAAAAAAAAAAAAAAAGAAAAGCACAAAGACTTTGTTTAAAATGCTTTTTATTTTCTTATCTAAGTTGAGCCTGAATCAAAAGATAGAAATACCTTGAGCTGTGGTTCTGGCTTGCCTTGGGGTTGTGGAGAGAGTCCCTGAAGGTGTGTGCTTTGCTTCCTTCTCTGAGTGAATCGGGGACAATTCTTGGGAAGTCACCGAGAGCTCTGGGGTTTTTGTTGTCGTTGCTTTGTCCTGAGCCTTTTCTCTGTGGCATTTCCAGCCCCAGCCAGGCTGGCATGCAGAATGCACAACCTAATTATCACCATGCTTCAAATAAACAAATCCGGGATGAGAATGAAGTGGGTTTGGTTTAGATCCTGCCTTTGGGAATCTCTTCTTTTCTGACACTCTACTGAGCCATGCAGAGGAATATCTGATATTAGACACTCCACTGAGCCATGCAGAGGAATATCTGATATTATTGTCTCCTTGCTGCTTTCCTTCTGCTTTTTTGTTTGCTTTTTTTTGGTGTGTTATGGTGTTTGGGTTTTTTTTGCGTGTGTTGTGTGTGTGTGTGATTGTTGGGGTTGTTTTGATTGTTTCTAAATTTCCTTGTCCTGGATGCGTAGTCTGTTTTCTTCAGTGCTTTCTTCCAAGCTCGGCGTTTGTTGCTTTCCCCTCTGCCTTCAACAAGGATTTCTGAGGAAGCTTCGTGCGCTTCCAGGAGCAAAAAAAAAATAAAAATGACTCATCCAGTTCAGTGTTTCTGATGGTGTCTGGGGAGAGAGATCCTGCAGCTTTATCGAGCCCATCATCTGCAGCGTGAGGTTATTTCCTACAGAGCACACTCTAGCGTTGGGTACCGCACATGGTTACGTGTTTAATTGCTCCACATCGCTGTCGCCTAAATTTTCCTGGCCTCTATCCTGAATAATGTATTGTAAATGGAAGTTAAGAAGCAAAGGTGTGTTTTAAGGGTGGATTTGTCTACAAAGAGAGGAAGGAAAAAGGGAGGGGGGCAACTTTGGAGGACTGGGCTCGACTGCTGGTGAAGGGTAGGAGGGCTGAAGATGAAATTGGTTTATTGTGGAGCTATCACAGGGAGCAGAGATGTGCCCTGACCTTCAGCAATTTGAAACTCGAATTTGAGATGGTGGGAAGGCTGTAATGAATTGTGATGGAGGGAATGAGAGAAGGCAATTTTTCTTTGATGACAAAGGTAATTTTTTCTTTCTTTACTAATAATGTCTTGTAAATGCGGTGGGGGTTTGAAGTACAAGATATCCGCAAAGCAGGAGATGACAAAAACACGGCTGAAATGTGGGTGGTTTAAATGGAACAGGGAGAGTATTTGGGAATACCAGGGAGTGGCTCTCCATTAGCGAGGAAATTTGTGGGCTGTACTGCATTTTCATCCATCCTCAGTGCTCTCTGTTATATGCTGTGTTTGGGGTGCGTGTGTGTGTGCACCTGGTAATCACAGATTAAAAAGTTGTGACTTTGTTTAATAAATGATTGATTCAAATACTATCAACCCTTCCCGTTCCTTCAGATCTGAGGAAATTACCTCTTGGCTTCCCAGGGCCATGGTGACCAGAGGGAAGGATGGTGCTGATAAGGAGGTGGCTGGAGGAGAGGGACGCAGTGGGTCTCTGCACAGCTGCCTCCAGGCACCTGAACTGTGGGAGATGGTGGAGAGACCGTGGTGGTGGGGGGTGTGAATTCACTCTTAAGCATGAGGCTTGGCTCATCTCAGTGTGCAGTACGTTGATTTTTGAGTGGGTTTGTAGCGTGCCCAGGGTGTTTTGTGTGCTTACAAATAGCTGTTTTCATCCTGACCCTGCAGGGGTGTGCTCCGTCCTGCCTGGTTCATCCACAGCAGCCAGGTCTGGGTGGGGATGTGGTGTGGCCATAGTGAACCTGCAGCTCATCTCCAGCTGGTGCCTCGCTGGTGTCACCGACACGACTGCCAGCATTTGCTTTATAATATGCACATCCCTCTGTCTACAAACAGTAGACACGACTGGAAGCAGTAGCCTACGACTGGAAGCAACTCAAAAGGTTGTCCCGGTCTGATTTATTTTTTTTTATTTGGCTGTAAGTGAAAACCACTGCAGACATGTTAGCAAAGGTCACCTGGGCTTTTCCAGACAGCGAAGTGAAAGCTGATTTTTTAAAATGGGTGAAGAAAGCCAGTCTAGTTCAACCCCTGCCTTCCTGGCGGGAGCAGCCACAGCTGGACGACTCCTCGTGGATGTATCCTTAACCTATTTTTTCAAAAAGCTCCTTGCCTGCTCTTTGAAAGACTGAGGGAACTCTGCCAAATCCCAGAACTATTATGGAAATTTTTTTTGGGAACTGGAAGCATGCGAAGGGCTGCACTCAAAAGGTTGTCCCGGTCTGATTTATTTTTTTTTATTTGGCTGTAAGTGAAAACCACTGCAGACATGTTAGCAAAGGTCACCTGGGCTTTTCCAGACAGCGAAGTGAAAGCTGATTTTTTAAAATGGGTGAAGAAAGCCAGTCTAGTTCAACCCCTGCCTTCCTGGCGGGAGCAGCCACAGCTGGACGACTCCTCGTGGATGTATCCTTAACCTATTTTTTCAAAAAGCTCCTTGCCTGCTCTTTGAAAGACTGAGGGAACTCTGCCAAATCCCAGAACTATTATGGAAATTTTTTTTGGTAATTTTAAAGTGCTCTGACAACTGCAGCCTTCCTGTGGTTCATCCCCTGTGTGCTCCTGCGTTCCCTGCCCTCTGTGGGCATTGGGCAGCTGTTTGTGCTCCCGCAGCACGGAGGGGTTTTGCACTGAGAATCACGCACCGGTCAGCAAGAAATAGAGATTTGCCTCTGTATTTTAAATAATTACAGGCCATCCAGGCTCGTGGGCGATGCAAGCTGAGGTGAGCCGAGGGCCCGGCTGGAGCATCGTGCACGGTTTATGCTGCACGACGATGTTACACGATAAAAATCTTTAATTAGTGGAGTTTCAGAGGAGAAATGCTGAGCAGCTCTCCCTCTGGTGGTGTGGGTATGTCATACCACGAGGCGCTAATTAAATCTCTGGTAGCTGTGTGTTAAATCTCTGCTCGATGGTGTCCCTATGGCACCAGGGTTTCTCCAGTGGTCCTGTCCCCTGCCCTGCTTCAAGAAGCGCCCACATGCAGGAACAGCTTCCGCAGACTTTGTTCCCCCTTCCAGAGCTGGAAATCCCTTAGTTAGCCCCAAACCTCTGCAGCAGGGCACTCACAGAATCACAGATTCACGGAATCACAGAATCACAGAATCTTAGTGGTTGGAAGGGACCTCCAAGATCATCGAGTCCAACCACAAAAAAAACCAAAAACAACAACAACGACAAAAAAACCAAAAAAACACACAACCACCACAAAAACAACAAACCCAAAACCACCACCCACCAACTAAACCCCACACCCACAACCCACCACAAGAATGACAAACCCAAAACCACCACCCACCAACTAAACCCCACACCCACAACCCCACATACTACACCCCACCACAAACCAATAATCTTGGGCACCAGAGCATGCGTAATTCTTCCTAATATCTAGTCTGAATCTCCCCTGCTGCAGCTTCATACCATTACCTCTGGTCCTGTCATCATTCCTTTGGGAGAAGAGGCCAACACCCACCTCTCTACAACCTCCTTTCAGGTAGTTGTAGAGGGCAATGAGGTCTCACTCGGGATATTCATTCCAACCTGACGTGGAAGATCAGCCTCAGAGGTGGGATAAACTAGTTTTCTACTGATGGGAAAAAATTTCAGTGTTTAAGATCTAAAAACCATTTAGCTGGTTTGTATTCCTAAGGCCCTTTTCTTCACCAGGGCTTCCCAGGGCTCGTGGTTTTCTGAACAAGCTGATTATCAACAGGTGCTTGGGTGGGTTCAGGAGTTGCTTTGGGGTAAGAAATGACCTGGTGGGTGTTTCAGGCACAGAGTGCAGGTTCTCCCACTGCCTGGGATCCTCTGGGCTCTCTCTGCTGGACCAGGGAGGTCTGCTCCACCCCGAGCACATCAGTGGCACGTGCTTTGGAGTTGCCTTGGATTTGTGTCCTTGTTTGATGTCTGTGCCTTGCTGGGGAGCGAGGGGAGAGGCCAGCATCTTCCTCTGGGGTGGTGAGAGCAGTGCTGCTCTTTAACTTGTGGAAATTGCTTTCAGGCCATCGTGCTTCTTAAAATTGACCCAGCCCTGATCTGTTTTTGAGCTTGAGGTGGGAGTGCAGCTTTCGTTTGGATTCAGCTCCTGGCCTGAAGTCTGTCTCTCCAGTTATAAGGACTAAAATTTTGCCTCACAGCAGCGATAAGAGCCCTCGGTAAAGGCAGCTGAGGATGCTCCATGAAATCCTCAGTGGAAATCCCCCGTGGAAAGTGGGTGTCCTGCCCATTTCCAGCAGGTCCCTTGAAAGAAGGTGCTTTTTTCTTCCATGGGAAGTTTTTTCCTCCATGAAGAGATAGAGGTAGGTGAAAGCTGCCATCCTGGAAAGGAGAGGAGCCGATCTGCCCGGGATGTGCACAACGGGGCAAAGCCACCTCGTGCTTCTGGGCGTTGGGTACCAATTTGCAGCTCACGCCCCCCCTGACAGTGCTCTGCCCTCCCTGGAGACTTTTTGTGGGTCAGTGCCCACGGGTGGAGGTGTTACTGCCTTGCAGCAGGTTTTGGGGATGGGGAGGCTTTGCCTGGGGAAGCACACGGAGCTGCTGGCTCTGGCTGAGCATTGCTCAGGGCAGCTCTCCCGGGATGCACTGCCTCCTCCCACTTGAGACTACAGCTTGCTGGGTCAAAATAAGCATAACACCACCCTGGGAGGTTGTTTGAAGGGTGCTGGGATGAACCAGCTGGCTGAAGGCAAGAGCCAGGAGGGGAATGGATTAGGGTGTCAGGTTGGCAGGCTCCTGACCGAGGAAGGAGCTCTCTGGGAGGTCCCTATGGAACTATGTGCAGGCACTGGCAAAGCTGCTGGAAAATATTGGCGCTTGGAGAAGTTTGTGTACAGGGCTTTGAAGTTTCTGGTGGTTTTTTGTGGTTTTTTTTTTTCAAATGTAACTGGGTTTTGCTGAGCAGGACAGCTGCCTCCTCCCCATCTTTCCCAGCAGGGGTGTTGGGCACTCTCTGGTCCATGCAGCACGCTCCTTTGCTGGGATGGGTAAGTCCAAATTCAAAGGGCTTCATGTCACAGGATCACAGAATGATACGGGGTTGAGGTCCATGCAGCACACTCCTTTGCTAGGATGGGTAACTCCAAATTCAAAGGGCTTTGTGTCACGGAATCCCAGAATGATATGGGGTGGGAAGGGACCTCTGGAGATCATCTAGTCCAACCCCCTGCCAAAGCAGGTCCACCCAGAGCAG